TCTCTGATTTTATTTTAAAAAGCATAAATTAAATCGGTCTTTTCTGGCCGAGAAATTAGGGGATGTCACCTTATACTAATTGATCTACTTACGGGGATGATGTCTAGGCTGAATTTAATGAGGTGTTTAAAGTGGAATTTCCAAACAATATATCATGTATACCAAACGGACCTTATTTCCGATATGATCCTACCTGGTTGTTCCTTACTTGATAAATCTTGATATAGACATTAGGATTAGTGAGGAATCTATACTATCATTAGTCATCAGGAGTGTTAAACTAAGACTTAGTAATCGTCATACTAGGTCACGTCAAAGGAAAAGCTAAGGTACCAAGGTGAAGTTCTGCCCTAAGTCTGAGGCATCAACTTTTATCATGTGAGTGCATAGTTACTTTCAGCTTACATATAGATATCAAGTATTCAATTTACTTAGATGACTTATGTGTTTATTATATGCATTCCTGATAATTGTGCTAAATGAGATAATGATTATTACTCGTAGTAAGTTATATATGTATTTATTATACTTATTTTGTATCGGGTAAAAAAGGGTAGATAGATAAAAGAGATAGTATAATGGTGAGAGACCGTGCCAGAGATAGAAGAGTAGTGAGAGACCATACTAGAGAAAATAATGGTGAGAGACCATGCTAGAGATAGAATAATGGTGAGATACCATACAAGAGATAATGGTGAGAGACCATGCCTAACTAAGAGCATTCATCTAGCAGAGTATTGATGACAATCACAGACTCTTCTAGACAGTTTAGTGGAACACTAGCATACTCATAATTTGTAGGTGTTAATGAATCATACTATCTGAGAGTATGGATTGTGTGTCATTTGAGTTCTCTATCCCCCTCATTGTTGCTTTACTGACATGTATTGCCAAGGAATCCCTGATGCAATATTGTATACTCGTTGTTACAGAGATCCTTTAGGATAGGTTCATTGAGATTATCATTTATGATCAAAGAGTGAAAATAACGGGGATGAGTAATCGGGATTAATCTGTTTGGTGTGTTATATATACATAAAACAATATAATAAAATATTGTGGGCTTGAAACCCTATGTGCTCACCAGACTCTCAAGTCTGACCCACTCAATTTCCTTGTAAGACAGATAATGATACAAAGACACAATCCATGAGAGATTCAAAGAGTATAGGTCATTAGTGCAATGAGTTATTGTAAGGTCTGTAATAATTATGTTTATGTTTATGTTTCTTGTATCAGTTATGACATCCCAAAGTTTATAATAATCAACGAAAACATTTTTTTGAAAATATTTTTTATGAGACAAATTCCACATTTATAAATAAACCCTATTTTAAAAATAAACATAAATAAAACGGTATTTTCTGGCTGAGAAAATTGAGAATGTCATATAAAAAGTACGGATTCTAATATTCTAAATGCATAAAAGTGTTCAAAATATGGAAGCTTAACCCAAATTTACTCCCAAAATGTTAGAAGATATCAAAACTCCGACTTTTTGAAACCATGTATCAACAACTTACCACTTTTTAAAAAACACAAAGACCATTTTGAAAATTTGTCAATATTAACTTCAACTCAAATTAAAAGTTCTACAACTAACCACTAACTTTTTTGGATGAATGTTCATAAATATATAAAAAATGAATCTAGGTAAAAGATTTATCTATATTTAGAAAATTCATTTCCCGTGGGGAAATATTTCGGCCTTCCTTCACTAACAAAAAAACATGTTTACTATAAATAGAGAAATTGTAATAAATATGATAGTTTTATAGATCATGATAGAATAAATTACACGAATGGTCCTTACGGTTTAGGGTAATTTTTTTATTTGGTCTTTAACTTATTTTTTTAACTCGGGAGGTCCTATTGTTTGTTTTTGTTACGCGTTTGGTCTCTGTCTTACCTAAAAAGACACTCCATTTTTTCATATAGACATTCTATTTGATTTTTAAGATATTTTTATTGGTTGAATTTACATTGTTTTCCGAAAAATTAAGTTATAAATAATTTATTATATGTTGACTTTTAATAAAAATGTTTATAGGTTGTCTAAGGGGTGACAATTTAGCAACACGCAATTATAAATAATTTATTATAAGTTGACTCTTAATAAAAATGTTTATAGGATGTCTAGCGTTTTATTAAAATTTTAATATGAGTATGTAGCTTTTAAAAAAAAAACAAAGTAATATGTATACTTTGCCTAAGGTACATTCTCACACACATATATATATATATATATATATATATATATATATATATATATATATATATATAATCAAATCGTTTATAAGAAATGTTATATTTATTAAAAATATAACTTTGCATTATACCTAAAATTTTAAATTATCACTAAATTAACAAAACATAAACAAAAAGGATGGATGAATCAATCAAGAGATAAGTTTGAGAAAAAGAAATAGTTGTAAATAAAAAAAGAATATACTTTTAACAATATATATTTATTTCTAGACGAAAATAGTATGTATTTGGGGGAAAAGCGGATATAAATAGATAACAGATGAGTGCCCACAACCCACGTAACAGCAGTCGGTTCCATGAGCTGACGGGGCTGTTCAACATTTTCTATCACCATCTTCTTCAATTCCCCACCCAATACACATTTATGCAAGTCTTAGGTAAATCACTTTGAACTGTTCATACCACTGTTTCATGATCACTACTTCAGTATAAGCTTGGTACTTCACTTTCCATTCTCATTATCTCATATTCTTATGTGATTTTGATCGTTAGTTTAACAATCGGAGAACTTTTTGTGCTTCCGTCGATTAATTAGGTTAAAATCTGCGAAAATGGCCGGAGAAATTGAGCTGGAAGCAAGCGGTTTCGTAAACCCTAGCGATACGGATCCTCTACTTCAGAATCACCAAAATGCTGCTTCTGGTTCATCGTCGTTGGCAGCGGCGGCGGGTTTGGATTCTACTGAGATTACGTGTGAAGATGTTGAAGCTGGATCGATAACCACTTGCCGTATTTGCCTTGAATGCGACGGCGAGGAAGGTGAATGTTATGTTTTTTTTCATTAATAGTGAAATCGATAAGTTCATGAAGAGCATAATTCAGTTCTAGAGTTTTCTATTCCTTCACTGATTCAATTCGCATAAAATTACTCATGATCTTCTGAAACGAGTTTGCAGTCGTTACTTCACAATCGGTGTGATGTTGATGTTGAACATTTTACATATATTCTCTAAAGACGAGGATGGAAATCAGAAAATGCTTAAAGTGCTTCTGTGATCAAATGTGCATTTGTGTTAAAGTTTTTACTCCTATATCTTACTGATGTACTTAAAATTACTTATCAAAATCAGTCTAGATTTGCTTCCTGCATATATCATGTCTCTAAATTGCTCTACAAAGGGATTCATTTTCCTAATTTTGGCTTCTCTTTCAAATGATTCTTACTATAATTGTCGATCCCAAATTGTTATCGATCAAGTTTTATAATGCTTTTATCATAAGACAAGTTATTAAACTATCTAGTGTAATAAAGAGAATTTGAGTCCCCCTTGTCCCTCTTTTGTTATTTGTTAATGTCTCTTCTCTCCAATCCCCAAATTGTAAGAAAGAGACACAACACTGTAAGAAAGTTATTCAATTTGTTTGATGACTAGTGGTGTATCAGGATTATATAGTCTCAATTTCTAACCTTTGGTGCTATTAATTTCTATATTTAGTAACAATTCCTCATTAATTCTATCTTTCTTTTTGTAGATGATGATCTGATATCTCCATGCATGTGCAAAGGCACACAGCAGTTTGTTCATCGTGCATGCCTTGACCACTGGCGATCTGTCAAGGTGACGAATGACAATTACTAATTATCACCCTAAATTTATCAAAAATGATTTTACATTTTTTTTTAAAAAAATGTGTTATTTATAAACAGGAAGGATTTGCCTTTTCTCATTGCATGACTTGCAAAGCTCAGTTTCATCTTCAAGTTGTTGAGTTGAAAGACAACTCATGGCGAAAAATTAAGTTCAGGCTATTTGTTGCTAGGGATGTCTTCCTTGTCTTTTTAGCTGTTCAAACTGTGAGAAAATCTTCATTTTTTTTCTCTTTCTTTTTCTTCCAAATTTAATTTATAGTATTTGTTCAAGTAATCATACAACATTACAATTCACTGATGAAGGTGATTGGACTGATTGGAGGTGTTGCATACGTTGTGGACAAAGATGGATCTTTCAGAACTTCTTTTAGCGACAGCTGGGATCGTATTTTATCAACTCATCCTCTACCATTCTACTATTGTGTAGGTACGTGTTATGTAAATATGCGAATCTTGAAGGTGAGAATCTATCAAATATAGAATAAAATCTAAGACAAATGCTTTAATTAAAAACTAATGAAAGTACGTTGCTATTTCTCTCATTTATCGATTTAGCCATTAAAGTATTATTATTATATATAATATGAACAGGGGTGATTGGTTTTTTTGTGGTGGTTGGGTTTATTGGGGTGATAGTTCATTGTACATCTCTGAACAATGATCCGCGAATGGCTGGGTGTCAAAACTGTTGTTTTGGGTGGGGAATTTTGGACTGTTTTCCTGCATCAATGGAAGCGTGTTTAGCTTTGGTTATCGTTTTCATTGTTATATTCATCATACTTGGAATTGCCTATGGCTTTCTTGCTGCCACCATGGTTATACAAAGGATCTGGCAAAGGCACTACCACATCCTCACCAAAAAAGAACTTACCCAGGTACAACCTACCTACATACTACCTACTACCTTATCTTCTTAAATGCCTCATCAAAAGTAATGCTACTATTCACATAAGTGAGTTTAACATTTTTGTTATTTACAATAATAGCATTTAAATACACAACGTTTTTATATAAATATTAATTATTAAACATTTACTCAACCACACCTTTGTTATGTCCTATATACATCAATTTTTTTTTATTAGATTATGTTTTTTCAAATTATTAAAGTAGGGGGGACCTTTTTCGAAAAAAACTGTGTAATCATGGCATTGGTGTATTTCATTATCGTTAATGGCCACTTTCAAAGAAAAGAGTAGATAATTCTAAAATCCAATTCATATTTTTTGTTTGTTTGAATCCTCCTTTTTCTTTTTCTGATATAGGAGTACGTAGTGGAGGATCTTCATGGACGTTACACCCCTCCAAAACTCGATCCAGAACATGCAGACCGCCTTAGAATGCTCAAGCTTTTGTAAATTCCCCTATACACAATATAAAAATATAATAATAATAATACTAATAATAATAAGAGTCTGGTTTGTTCCAAGGTTAAGTAGTTGAAATACCAGTGCTTTTACAAAAGTATAAGAGTCTTAATAGGAACGCATGATAAAGTCCTCCGTCTTGTTATATAATATATACATCAATATATGATCGTTTGAGTTGTCTGTCTGTTTTTTTCTAAATTTACTTCATACATATGTATCTATTATCGATACAAAATAACAAGGCAGAAACAACAGAGAATGTTACTATTGATTGATATATATATCATATATGTTAGGTTATCTGTTAGGAAAAAAGTTAAAAATCTACCCAAAAAGATATAATAAACAATTAATGAGATAAGTATTTCTTGATGGTGTTATCTTAGATTTTCACCATCTTGTTCGCTCATCCGATTTGCATCACTCACAAATACCAAATGATCACCATCTCTAACAACATCTATTTCATCTACTTCAGCACCTTCTTTATTCACAACCCTCGCCCCCAACAAACCATACTTTTTCAATCCAATTTCAACCAACTCCTCAAACGTCTTCGGTAACATAACAAGCTTGCCCGAAACATCACCTTTCTCCGGGCAGCTCACAACAATCCTGCCCGGATTCTCCTTCTCCTTCTCTCTCCACCCACCTCCAATGCTTGTAGGCTTAGGGGACACCAAATCTATACTATTCTCACCTTCTCTCTTATTTGACATAATACCAAAAAGCGAATTATGGAAATTATCACTTCTACGCCTCCGCCTTGACCGGCTCCATGACCCTGATCCTGACCCTGACACATCGTCTGTATCCGGGCCTGCCCGAGTCATCGTGGGCTCACTTTTGAACCGCCCGAGAAACTGTACATGTGGCGAATGACGCGCCCGTGTGTCTTCGGGAATGGAAACGAGTGGTACAGGTGGCGGTTTGGTCAACTGGTGGTCAACTATTACAGATTGGAAAAGCGTCTTGATATCTTCATGTCCTTGTTGGTCCGCCAAATCTCGTGGGGTCCACCCGTGACCATCTACTTGGTCAATATTAGCTCCTTGACTTAATAGAAACTTCACCATCTCAACGTTGCCTTCACTGACAGAGACATGAAGAGCCGTCAAGCCGTCGTTTTTAGGACGCGTCACGTCACCTCCATAACGAATGATCTTTTTGAGTAAATCTAGGTTGTTTTGTTCAGCCGCCATGCAAGAAAACTGGCCCACATCGCCGGAAGATAAAGTGCCGCCGTTATCCGCTAGAATTCCAATCACCGTTTCATGGCCACCAACTATCGCCTCCCATAATGGAACACTCCCTTCTGAATCTTTACAATTGGGATCTACTCCATAATCTAGTAGCAAAAGTACACAGTTTTGACTTCCTTTTGACGCCGCTATGTGCTGAAAACAACACAAAACAAAAACATTGATTAAAAAAACAGATATAAATATTAATTTTTTTTTTAATTGTATGTCTGAATATTTACCAAAGCGGTTCTCCCATTATTGTCGGATTCATTTGGGTCAAGACCTTTCTTAAGCAATTTGTGCAACAAAAGGTCGTCTCCTCTAAGTGTAGCAAAGCATAGACTTAGAGGCAAGTCCATCCTGCCACGTGCCAGCATGTTCTCTGTCTCCACCAACACCGTTTCCATATGTGGATCACCTACGTCTTTCAAATGCTGTCCCCATAAAAAAAATATAATATAAAATCAGTTTAATGCAACAAACTACAATGTCTTAATAAGAAAAAAAATATTAAACAGTATAAAGACCTGGAGAAGATTGTTCATAATGATTGTCCCATCACCAACGTTAGCTTGAACAATGTTTAAAAAAGTGGTCCGGTTTAATCGTAATAACTGGCTTAATCTTTTGGTGCGAACTGTAAACAGTTGTGGTCTATAACAAAGAACACCGATTTCACCACAAAGGTCACCAGGTCTTGCTTCACCTATAACCTGTTCGACTCCGTTTTTCATAACAATCAATTCCTGATTACATAATTAAATCATTAGATACAAAACGAAAAAAAAATAAAAAAAAATCAGTTACTCCCATTGAAATAAATAGGACAATAAAGACTTACCACTGCTCCCGTAACAAGTATGTAGAAATCCGTTGGCGCTTCGTTCTGCAAAATAACATCTTCCTTTGGAGGAAAATATTCCGCTTTCATTTCCGAGACCTAACAAAAATCATGAATCGTTATTAATTATGAAAATAAATTTCTGTTTTTGGAAGACTTATTGTATTAAAAAGAGGGGACATAGATATTAGACATACCAGCTGAAAAAGCAAGTCGTTGGAGACGCCGCGAAACAAGTAGGCGTTATCAAGAAGTGAATAGAAAAGGAAATGAGAAATGCTTGAACGGATGGCTTTCGGGAGTGAATCAAGAGTCTCTTGTTGTTGAAGACCCTCTGAATCCGTTCTAAACTTCAAACACAAATGCGCAAGCATCTGATCTTGCAAACGAACCGGCAACTGATTTCTATGAGCAAAACTCGAAGCCGCTTGAATCGAGTCCCTCTACATCAAACACAAAACCCCAAAGTAAATAAACAGATATAACTCTAAGCCCTTATAAGCCCAAAGTTATCAGCTTACCAATAACTCCTGGTAAGTTTATAACTTTGGGCTTGAGGCGTTACATATTACAGAATACATATTAAATTAAAAAAATGGTAATATGTCGAGAAAACTTACGAATTGTCTAGTTTTACTAGTGCCATGGACAACTAAATTTGTCATATTTCCGATGAGATAGGAAGTCAATCCGAGGTTGAAAAGCATGTAACATATGACAAATATCATCTCCCTTCTATTTTGAGCATGCAAATCTCCGTATCCCACAGTGGTGAGAGTTGTAATTGACCAATACAAGGATGTCACGTAACGAACCCCCAAACTTTCCTGTTTAAACCCTTCATTATCATACCCGATCCAAGTCCTACCCGGGTTTGGATAATGAGCAGCAAGATAATAGTAGAAACACCCCGCAGAGTGAACCGCAAATAGGGTAACCTATATGAAATAAGTTATGTTAAAAGTTAAAACACACTTAACATACCCAAAAACAACAAACAGACGATAAGTAGTGTCATGATAATACTACTTACAAAAATAAGCTTCGCACATCGGACCCAAAAGTAGTTGAAATGTCTATCTTTCTCCAATCTGTAAAAAAAAAACAAGAAATTAAAAGAAAATTCAAAAAACTTAATCCGCAATGTAACGAATGACCTAAAGGGTTTGAGTCTTGGGAATCGGGAATTACACTTTCAATGTAATGTGGGCCCTCCTGAGCTTTTATATCTCGGTTGAGATGCTTTGAGGGCCAGGTCAAGGATAAATAGGAAAAAAAATAATGTACCTGGCAAATAAGGCGCTGACTCTGCGTAAACGCCAGAGTCGAAACATGTTGAACAATCCATAGGATTGTAAGGATCCGGTGGAAATCTTGTGGGCTAATTCGGAAGGAATTGTGGAGATGATATCGAATACTAGCCAAGTGCTTGTATATCTCCATGCAATTTGTTTGTGTTCATCAACAAGAAGGTAGGTGTTTTTATCAAGGTATGCTACGAAGAACGTAAGAATGATGTCAATAGCAAAGAAACTATTGACAACGTTGTCAATAATTGAAAGCGGTTTTCGTGGTTCTTCAAGAAAACCGAATTCGAATGGGGACACCCACGCAGTGTAGAGTACAAGTACAACTAGAAATGTTTCCCATGCCCTGCAAAAAATAGATATTAAAAAAAAACAATAAGAAATACATAATTTAATTAATTAATTAATTAATATTAAACGATATGTATCATTTAGATTCCCACATATGTTGATTAGAAGTTTGGTTTTACGGGCTTAAAGACACGTTGAATGCAAAGTCATTCTTTTCCACCAAAAAGAGTCAAAATTAGACGGAAGTAGAAAAAATTCTCATATCGTTTTCCTTTAATTGTCATCTTCTGATACTAAATACAATATTAGTTCTTTTACAATTTTCAAAATGGAAATAAATGCATCAAAGAGAAAATAGAAACATAAAAAGGAATACAACTATGACTTATGATACCTTTTATTTTAACTTTAAAGAACAAAGAGATTATTATTAATTATTCTTAATTTGAGGCCTTAGAGATATACTACTGAACAGAAGAAACAAACAACAATTCCTTTGGAATTTCTCTTCTCGTATACACCATCCATTATTCTTAGAACAACACTTGACAACCGAATATATAATTACCTCCGTCCAAACCAAGTACTTTAATCGTGAATCTTATTAAAGTTGCCCAATGTTTATGTTTCTTGTTTTACTTTGATTTTGCATATTAACAATTTAAAAGTTTATACATATTTAATACTCAATCAAGATTCTGAACGGTTTTAAGAAATAATAATAAAACGCTCCAAAAAAACTGTGATAGAATCAACGTACAAATGTCTGCAAAATCCGCTAAGCAGAAGATACGAATAATAATAACAATTTCAAAACTGCAGAGATATAAATGCTTTTGCTCGTAATAATGCTATCTACTGTACAATTGATAATGCACAGCGTACAAGAAATTACAGCAGATTGACTGCCTCGGAACTCATTACGTTATCAATGGCGGTTTCACAAAAATCAGCAAACTACGCTCTACGAAGCTTCACACAGAAATTACGAACTGTTAACTACTCGTATATTTCAATTAGACTAAAATTGGCAACTAAAATCCAGTTTCAGAGTGCAAATTCGTGACTATTAAACCTATCGCTGAACATACGCTCGCTCAAACTGTATGTATAACAGTATAAGAATGAAGAAACAGTATTCAACATAAACACAAAACAATCATAGATGATTATTTGATTTATGATAATTATGTGTATGTATATACCTGTAACGGCGATCGTAAGGGGAGACGATGAAGTTACGAAGTTTAACACGACGATTGCTACGAGCACCGAGCGAGGGTAAAATTCCGGTGGTTAGACTGTAGTGACTGCCGTCTCTGGACATCTGTTCGAGTTCTTTCGCATCGCCACACATTGAAACCCTAAATACTCGATTCTTCTTGAGATTATTATCACTATCAAAAATTTCCGCCATCTTTAACTTCGGAATGCTCTTCCTTCTTCTTCGACTGCCTTCTATTTATATGTAGAAAGCAATTTGATATGTGGGTCCCACTCCCACGGTCTACACGAGACTCTTCCTCCCTAGTGTTGTTGTTTGGGCTCTTTATTGCTTACCAGGAAACTATAACTTTTTTTTTAAATAATATTACAATAATGGTCCTTTTACTATTTCATAAATCCTACTTTAGTCTTTTAATTTCGAAATTTAATATTTTTAGTATACATATATCAACTATTATTCGGTGCTTCCTCTTTGTAGAAATAGCTTGTAGTCTAATACTATAAGTTAATTATTCCCGTATTAGATATTTTAAAGTTTCAAATAATAAAGATAAAGTTATAAATCAAAGTTTAAGTTAGCAATTCAAAAAAGGGTTTCCATAAAATTTTAATTGTCATCGTACAATGAGTGAGATGGCAAACGGGCAACAAGC